AAACTGTGAGCCTTTGCTGCGTATTTATCTGCTACTTTTCGTTCTGATTAGTTACACTGCCAATTCCGTCTCGATTCCCATTTCATTTCTTTTTCCAGTTAATCACCGCCAGCATCCCTTGCTCATGCTTTTGAAGAGCAGTGTTATTTTTGCATCTAAAAGTGCCCAATTTAATTAGATTAACTGTTACAGTGACTCGACAAGTGGAAAGTTGCTGGTTCGCGAAAAAGGCCGCACTAGAAGAGTTGAATTTGAAATCTTTTAGTCACACATAAGTAGGGAACATTCCCTTAAAATTAAAGCCTTCAGCTTTCCCTGTTCCTGAGTCAGCAGTTTACCCACCAAAATTTTCACGTGTCCGTACGTGAGTGCCGAACGGTTTTAAGGAGCCGAATTTGAAATCTTTTGGTCACACATGAGTAGGAGACATTAACCTAAATTTTCAGCTTTCTAGCTTTTTTTGTCCCCGGGTTAGTGGTTTTCGCGCCAAAATTTTCACGTACCGACACGTGGTCCCCGGACCCTTTTAAATACCTGATTTTGCACGTGCATGAGTGAGGGACATTCTCCTAAAGTTTCAGCTTTCTAGCTTTTTTCGTCCCCGGGTTAGTGGTTTTCGCGCCAAAATTTCCACGTGCCCGTACATGGGCTCGGGGTTTCTGAACACCTGGTTTTGGTCGTACATGAGTAGGGAATATTTCTCCAAAGTTTCAACTTTCTAGCTTTTCCCATTCCCGAGTTTTGAATTTTCCCGCCACAATTGCCACGTGCTCATACGTAAGCTCCGGGCAGTCCTGGGCAGCTGAATTTAAAATCTTTTTATTATACACGGGTAGGTAACATCACCCAATGGTTTCAGCTTTCTAGCTTTTCTCGTTCCCGAGTTAGCAATTTTCCCGCCAAAAATTTCACGTGTTCGTACGCGGAGCCCAGACGCGCGTGAGAGTTGATACCGCGGTCCTGGGGTGGTATTTGGCTAGGGAATACACTGGCAAAATTTCAACTTCAAAGCTTACGTGGTTGGCGAATTGAAACACCCGGACAGGCGAACACACACACACACACACTGACAAGTCGTTGCAATATGCATTTTTGCTGCCTTGCAGCGCTCTTGCGCTGCACGGCAAAAACGCATAAACAGTGTTTCTCTGCGACTCGTCGCCCTCCTCTCCATCGTCCCTCGTTTCATCAGCTTTTCACCCTACCTTCCACGTGCCCCTTCCCTCTGCTTTCCATTTTCCTCATATTTTTTCTGCTGTCTTCCAATTTTCAGCTTCCCTCATCCTTTTTCTAACTCATCCTAGTTATTTAAAGAATTTCTCTATTGGTCAAAAAGCATTATTGTAAGACTCCTCTCGACTTATGCCGAGTACCATTTTTAGTTTGTTCATGAGTTTTTAACGTAATGATTAATGAGCAATTTATCAGGTAACAAAGAAGTCGAATTCGTTTAAAGCAACTTTGTGGCTTTGCGACGACGGCTATCCTCTCGATCTGCAGGTATATTTTACCAAAGTTTTGAGAGGTAGTTTTAAAAGGCAAAAGGAAAATTAGAAAAAATCATAATTAAGGAAAAAACTTTGGAAGGAAAAAATTTTGAAATTCTCAAAGTGATTTCTGTACTTTTTTTTGGAATAGGGACAGTTTTTATGCGTTTTTTGCAGCTATGCAATGCAGAA